GAAGACCAATACCGAGCAATACCGAGTAATACCGAGTTGTATCGAGTTTTTCTAGAAAAACTCGGTACAACTCGGTATTGCTCGGTATTACTCGGTACTTGCTCAGTATTGCTCGGTCTTTGCTCGGTATTGGTTATTGCCGAGCAAAATCGACAAATACCTAGCAATACCGAGAAAAATACCGAGCAATACCTAGCAAAATCGAGAAATACCGAGTCATCCTTCCTGGGTCCGTTTCGGGTCGGGTTATCGGGGCGCGCGGTAAATAGAGAGAACGCGTGGCGCGATTCTACTGGCGGCTGAACGTAGAGCTACGTCCTGCAACTGGACCAAATAAAAGTTCTATATATTGACAGAAAATTCTAAATTTCTTTATCAAGTTGTTAGATCTTCTTATCCATTGATAAGTTATTAACATCATTGGATAAAGTTAAATTAAATTAACTGATACGTATCAGCTACATGAATGCAATTTTTATTAATTAAAAAAAATAAGATATTCCAACAAAAAATATTTCTTTTAGTTTAAAAATTATGATATTTCATTTGAAATAAGATGATTGGATCCAATGATATTATCATGTCATTATCATCCCAACCAAACGGGAAAAAATATATTCAGATATTTTATATAATTTATATTAGATTAAATTCATTTATTTTATTTTATTTTAGAATTAATAAATACTATGAAAAATATTTATTATAGTAATTTTTAGATTTATCATGATATAAATTATGTATGAATATTATAAGTATAACCCTATTTTTATAAATATATTGCTGAAAAAGCCAATGACATGGAAAGGAAATTGAGAAATAATTGCCCATACGTTTTTGTCTCCATAAATATTTGATGTAGTAGCTGTTGCATGTAGGCTCATTAAATATATAGGGCTTTATGCAATAATAATTCCTTTTTAGAAAAAAATAGTAAAGCACTTTTAGCTAAAACTTCTTTGGGTGAACAAAAAATAGTAGAAAATAAAGCCTAAAAATATGAAAAGAAGAGGTCATAGATTCGAGTTTATGATTAAATTTATTCAAAATAAAGAAAAATAATAAAATTTATTTTTGTTATTCCTTAGATTTTTATTTTCTCCTATTTGAAGTGAACGGAGAAAGAAAAGAAATTTGCATTTGTCCGATTCATAGATTCTTACGTGGCAATAAATATATGTAAATTAAGAGAAATTTTGTTCTCTTCTATTGTGATACCATCTTAGAAGCCTGAAAATTTTGAGGGTTTATTAACAAAATGGATAGGATTTAGTAGCCACTTGTCATGGAGAAATTATTCTGTGCGTACACCAAATTGTTCGGAGGCGAATCAAAATGCACCTCGCCACTTGGTACACAGCTGCAGTACACAACAAATAAGTGACGTAACACATAATGATTCTCCTCCGAACGGTGCCCCTATCTGCACAGAATAATTTTACCTTGTCATGAGAGAAAGTTTTGAAGATCGATGTGTGAAATCAGTAAGCTGGGTTTGCGAGTGAGGACCGATAATATTCTCAGATCCACAATGTTTGACTAATATTCATTTTCATAGAATACGAAGAAGGGATAAATTACATGTCCAAGGTTAGAAAAGCAATAGGATGTCTTATGAATGCTATGATGTGTATTTGAACCAATAGTGTATGCATTTCATTATTATGCTACTCCTACTAAATTAATTGGTGATAACTCCACCTATGTGATTTGACTTAGAACTTGTCACAACCCAACCCGATTAGGACAAGTCCTATCGTATTGAACTATGACAGGAAAACCCCAAGATCTAGTTTTGAAATTATTTCAAATTTTCATCTGATATTCATTGAAATAAATGACAAACTACAGAG